TGCCCTAGACTGGGAATCAAACCAGAGACCCTTTGGTTCGCAGTCTGCGCTCAGTCCACTGAGCTACACCAGCCAGGGCACAATGCTGATTTTAGTGCACGGTTTCAAGAGCTGATGGAGCTACGTCTGCTAGTGAAAGTGAGTGGAGCCAATGGGCATGAAGAAGTTGGTGTACAGGGCTGTGGGTCCCTTCAGGGTCTCCTAGCCGGCAGCGGTAAGCAGAGCAGGATCTGCTTTCTGCTCAGATGCTTTCCTGTGCTTCCCAGCCTGGGCCTCCACCAGCCTGGGCCAGCCGGGTGCCAAGCTTGGCAGCACACACCCTCAATCAGGAGAGGCGGTGTGTTGGGTCAGCCTTTCTCCCCGTCAGTGGTGAGACCTGGGATGGAGAAGAATCGGGTGGGGTGGGGTGGGGTGGGAGGTGAGCTGAGCAGGCCTCACAATTTCCTTTAGTCTGAGCTACTACCTCTTACTAGTTTAGGAAGCAGAAGTGTTTTCTAGGGTTTTGCCCAGCTTACCAGAATGCTCCCCAGAAACTTAAGCCACAGTTGATCATTACACTTCTTGTTGGCTGGCTCCCTATTATTTCCTTTGCATATACCTTCATTAGGGAGGAGAAATGAGAGTTCTGGACCAGGATTGGGTATTACTGGTACCCCCCAGTCTACTCCAAAGCCATGCCATATTTGTAACATCCAGCAGAATGGCATCCCCATTTCAACCATAAGCCTAGGACTAAAGAGCATGTGTAGGACTTCATAGCAAGGAACAGAGCCAGGTCAGTGGCTTAGGAAGAGCCAGGCTGGTGAGATGGGGAGACACTGGGAGGTAAGAAATAGAGAAGTGCTTATAGTCAACTCTTCCAGAGAACAGGAGGAGAGAGGATGGAAAGAGTGAAATGCATGGGGTCAAGGGCAAGATGGGGAGGTACTTGATGGGAAGAGCTGGCAAAGAGGAAAGATAAAGAGACCGAGGTGGCTAGAGTGAGGTCCCCAAGGGGGCGAGCAATGGAAACATCTGGAGCAGAAAGGAGGGGTTAGCTCTGGACAGAGTGTCACCCCTTCCATCTCACGTAGGACAAGAAAAGGGGGAGCTGATGTAGGCAAGTTTATATATTTGGTGATGGAAAGCTGAAAGATTGCTGTCTGATGGCCCTTTTCTCTGTGAAATTTGGGGTGCTATTCTGGTCTGAGAGTAAGTCAAAGGTTTAAGGAGGAGATGGTGTTGAAAGGGAATGATGGACGGAGTGCCGGGGGCAGCCCCAGGTGTGAGCAGTGCAGGGAAGGGTAGCAGCTGGATGGGCCCCAGCGTGGGGTTTTGACGTGTGGGTGCACTGGGAGGTTCATGGTAACAGTGAGAAGGACAGTGGAGTCTGGCAGGAGGCTGGTGGGGGCGTTGAAGGGTCTCGGACAGGGGAGATTGGGACACGGAGGAGAGGAGGAAGAGAGGTGGAAGCTTCAGCAAAGCCATGGGATGGGTGTGGGCAGAAGGGGCCCACAGCCCTGAGCTGCCCTGGCAGGGCCGAGAGCTAGTCCCAGTTCTGAGGCTCACTGTGTGGGCAGGGCGAGTCACCGGCCCTCTTGTTGCCTTGGATTTCCTTTCTACAGTGTTGGCTTCTCTGGCTCAGAAGAGTCTGCGTGGTGAGCTGATTTGGGGAGGATGCAGCCCAGAATGAAAGGAACTCCAAAGCCTTGTCAGATAACAGGGCACACGGGGACACAGCAGCCACCACCTGGAGACAGTGGGGAATGTGGAAGACCACCTCCCGAGGGAGCGGCTGACAGTGGACACCCGAATCCACGTTCAGAAATGGGTTGTAGGCACAGGGGGAGTGGCAGCGAGATTGATCCCAGCTTGGGGTTCTAAGCCTGTAAGGCACCATAGGGGCTTGCAGGTCCCGACCGGCACTTCTCATGTGAACAAAGTTCCCATCTGTTGGTAGACAACATGCTTTAAATCCACCCGTAAGCAGCAAATGAGACTCTGGCTGGGGCTGCTGATGCCTGGGTTCTCAATCTAATAACCCATTCTCCCATCTCTGTTCCCCTCTGGATGGGCCAACATTCCTCATGGAAAAAGGTGCTGTATTCATACTTTTCAAGGTGTTCAAGCAGCCTTAGCCTTGAAGATGTTTCAAGGATAAAGGTCAAAAGTAGCTTTTGAAAATCCTGTATTAGCATCAGCATCCTTCCTGCCCCTTCCCTTTCACAAACTGTACTCATATGCAAAAAGTCTGAAAAGTTTAGAGGAGAAAACCTTAATTCTGTGTCAACTTTTTAAACCACAGAACACCCTTCCCCTAACATCTCTGTATTTCCATCAGTGCTCAGAACTAATCTGTGTGTTTCACTCTGACAGACACTAGTTAGTTACACAGGGTCCGGCACAAATAATGCCCATTTTATTACAAAGTCATAAGAATGTGATTCTGTAACAGCGTCACACTCAAGCACACCATCTGACATTTTAGGTGACATGTTCAAATTAAAACTATAAGTGACTACTCCCACATTATTGCCCTCCCACCCACACTCGTGTGGGTGTTGCCTCTGTAGGACCTGTATAAACAAACCACCAGAGGTAGACCATTACTATTGGCCCCAACAACAGACCAGTGTGGTGGCTGAGGACATTACCTTGGTTTACACGTGCGTTTGGTTATCTATTTGGTATGTCCAAAATTGGTGTCATTTAAACAGCTCTCTCTTGAGGGAGACTTTAAGCCTGTTAAAGAGTGAGAATAATCCATGACATGAATAGAAGCTTTTTAAATCTGTGAGAAAACCCACAGTCCAAGAGTCAAGTTAATTCACACCCACGGAGTGTATTGGATATGCTGCAGACGAGCATTCTCAGGGCCAGACGTGGCCTTATAAGGTGGCCTGACATTTTCTCATGGCCCAGGCTACCCTCCAAAAATATCCAGGGACAGAAGAGTGGGAACTGACCTCCCCAAACGTTTCAAAGAATAACAAGCAGGCTCTCCGTTAAACAAGAGCACTGACACCTGCCTTCTGACTAGCTCCAAAAGCCCTGTGCATTTCAAAACCGAGCAGCCTGCAGGTCTGTGCTGGGGGAGGGCTTGCAGCAGGCAGTGAGTAGATGGAGCCGCCCAGCACACGCCCAAGCCCATCTCTTCGCTTTAAAAAAAGTGTTAGCTTCTGTACCCCTCCAGAATATGCTGAGATCTGACTGCCTTTACTTTATATGGACAATAGAGACCCATAACTAATTTTCCTCAGTGTGTCTTTTTGCCCCTTCCGTATCTTTGGCCAAAGCTGTTTCCCACACTCTTTTTACTCCCACAGCCCCAGATCCCTAGTGAGGTGCTGCCCCCCAGCGGGCAGCCGGGCTACAACAAGGGAGGCAGAAATGACGTTTGGGCTTTAACCAAGGACGGCATCTGAAAGGTATCTGAATTGCACTCACCAAGGTCAACGACAGCTTGCAAGAGAGCTGCCTTGGTAATGTCTATGTGCTGGAATTAGTGAGCAGAATATAACGTCCAAATATTAAAGAGATTTAGGAAATGGGTACTTATGTACACAGCCTCACACACGTTTTGTTTTTGTGCATCAAATGAGACTTTTAGAGTGAACTGCCATTTGTGGGAAAACATTATTTTTGGTAATGAGGCCTACCCCTGAGGGGTATATCTCTAAATTTGGGGGGAAAAAAGATTAAATATCTCACAGGTCTGAAAGAAAGTCGTCAAAATATCCTGCACAGCTCTCTTCTAACTCTAGTTCTCAGCTGCAGGCAGTGGAATGTTAATAGGTATGGCTATTTTTGGTAATAGTTGCTTAGAACAGTTTCTTCACCACTAAATTGTATGACAATGAGCCAGTCTACTTGTAAGGCTGGGATTAAAAAAAAATAATGAGAAATTGCAAAGCTAGTCTTCATTCTTGTTAAAGGGAACAGAACAACACAGTGGTATTTTTGGAATGCTGTGTGAACAGCGAGTCAATTATACCGATGGTAGTTTCTCAGGCTAGGGCTCATGTTAACATAACTGCCACAAAATATGACAGTGACAAATTAGAAAGCCCTAGTGTCCGTTGCCACCCTCAGATTGTAAAAGTGGTGTTTTCTGGGTTGCTTCTACTATTAACTTGACCATCTGGCCATTGTTTTCAGTTGCAATAGTTTTATTTTTCTTTTCATAAATAAAAAGCCTGCCTCTCAAACAGATTAGACTCTGTGCGAGAGAGGCAGTTATAGCTCTAACCACTGTGGTGGTAACACCTAAGCTGTGATCAGATGGCATTTAGAAAGAAAATGTTCCCCTTTGGGATCCAGATCACACTGGTGGGCACCAGTGACTGTTAATTCTGAAGACCTGGTAGACACACGTGGGGGCACCTTGCTGCTGGAGGCAAATAACAAAATTCACCCAAAGAAATAATGAGAAAGTGCCCAGCACCGGGAGACAGCAGCACTTTCATTTGGAGGTGAAGAAATTTTGGGGTCTGGAACCGGCAGGTCCCAAGTGGCCGGACTGGAGTTTCCTGTGGTGCCCTCACTGCAACCTCAGGGCGCGCGAGGCTGCACCTAGGACTGTTCTGCGTGTGGGAGCATTCTGGGGAGGAGGTTCTTGACCTCTTGGCCAGGTATCTGAACACACGACAAATATGGTGGGCAACAGTATTTCCCCTTTCAACTTAAGTTAGAATAGTTAGATTAAAAAGGAAAAAAATACATTGAAAGATAAGGGTCCTTGATCTTTTACTGATGCATTTCTTAGATTTCCTGGTCATCACATGAGGAATCCCTCTTGTCCCTCTGATGACTGGCAGGAAGAATGACTTTTGGGAAACCTCTTAATATAATCTGTCTATTTTCCTTGCAAGTGCAGAACCATTATGGTTAGCAGAAACACATTTTAACACTGTCAGAGAAAGAGCTGGAATCTGTAATGCAACCAAAACGCTTCCATATTCCTACAACGCCACTTTCAGGCCAATCTAATGTGAAAAAAACCCACTAAGACTCAACTGGTATTTCAGATCCAGGCAGAGCACACACCAGTTTATTTTGAAATGCGACACAGATCAGTATTTTATGAATACAACTTATTACTGTTAACATTATCGGGTAAAAACAGCTTCCAAATGCATGCATAGAAAGTTAAGCATAGTCTCTGAATGCCTTATTTCTAAATATACAAAAAATCCGTTTAAATTATAGAATTTTAGTGAATCAAAGACCTATAAAATTACAATTTTGGTTTTCACAACATAGAAAAAATACAAAAATGACTGTATATATGGTTGTATAAATTTTCACCTAAATTTCAAAGGAGCAGTATGTACTGATTTTGATGTTTTATAATGTTTATCTGAAACTCAGGATTGAAAATAATTCATAGGTTGTATCACATAAATGCCAACCTTTTATTACAAACGAATGACCAAAAGTGCAAGTGGAAATGAGGGCAGAATCTCTTCCCGTGCCTCTTTCATGCTACGTCTTCTGCAGGATGTTCACTTCAGAGCAGTCTTGTCTGGGAGGACGGTACTTCGTTCCATGACTAACTCTCCACGGGGCCTTTGATAAGTGTGCCTTTGCAGCTCGTGTTAAACGAAAATTCCCAGCCTTAGCAGACAGAACACAGCGATATGCAAATCAGCAGTTGTGTCTACAAAGCACTGCTGCACACCTCACAGAATTCTCTGCCAGAAGGTGGTCCCCATATGGGGGGGCTCTGAAACATCCCCTGGGGGTGCAGCTGGGCAGTTGATGCCTTTGTGCCCTGAAATGAACACACAGTCTGACAAAATAACCACCAATACCACCTTCTTCATTCACCTTTAATAAGCAGAAGGGACATTTGGTGGGGTTAGCTGGTCTCAATTCATAAAAGGATGCCACCACTTCGAAGGAAGAATTAATTCATGTTGGAGCTAAAGATACTGAGAAAGGTGACCGAAGGACATGGTGGTATGTCTTACTTCTCTGCCATAAGCATTTTAGATGTCTGATGTACAAAAATAACCCTAGGGTTGAGGCCCTTTTTGAGGAAGGACTTGTTGGCTGTGCTCTTGTTGCCAAAGCTCAGTCAGACGCAACACCACTGTCTGCAACAGGTTCTTTCCGCAAATAGTGATGAACTGTAACAGAGAGGCCGGAATAAAACCAACCCAGCAATCTCGAAAAACCTGCATTTTTATCCCATCCTCTAATAACTATTCCAAAAACAATTAAAAAAAATCTTACCCAAATTAATATTAAGTCTAATATAATAACCCAATCTGATTCTATTTTACAGTAGAAATACATTTTGGAAAATAAAAAGAAAAACCATGAAATATAATCTTTCTCACATATTTTAGCAAGTATGAGAACAGATTCTAATCTCAACACACCCAAGTTGAGCGCTGACTTTAAGAAGCAGAAGTTTAAGGCTCAATTTCAAAAGGAGCTGACTACGCACTTGCCTGCACTGTCTACACTCCAGTGTGCACGTTTTCTCTCGTTTTCATACTGATTCTCAAGCCTCTATGAAAATAGGCAATTAAAAATTAAGTTTCCCACTATTTCACTCTTCAGATATTAGCAATTATATTTTAAATAACTACTCTATAAACTAGACTTTTAGGGTTTTAAAGATCAACCAATTTAAAAGGAAAAAATGGCTCTACGAAGAATATCCTGTTTAAAATCTAATGCACATGGCTTACACTTTCACCAACCTTTCCCTGAAGAGTCGTAAATGCACAGCTGAGCAACTGAACAGTATGAAGACATGAAGTTAATCAGACCATGTCCATTTGACCAAAGCATTTCTCAGCTGCTCCAGCACATGGGACGGCACCGCTTTTAGCTCAGGACTGCCCAGCCAGGCATCCCACTGCCTCGGGACATGTAAGGTGGTGGGGATTACAGAGGGCCACGATTACGGAAAATTCCCAAACAGAAGAGTTTCATGAAAATCAAAAAGTAAACTGATAAGGGTTTAAAAACCTACTACTGAATGTTCTTCTGGATTACATTTCTAAAGTAACACCTTCCATGCATTTCAATAACAGCTTTTCTATTCCTGTGACTAGACGGGTTTTAGGTCCGTAAATGAGAACAGAGATTGGCCAATGCATTCCTCAGAGGGGTTCTGAGAACGGTACTGGGAAAGGTACCTGGCACTTACTAGCGATGAAACTTGCCCTTTCTGAGAACTGTCATTTTGTGAAAATAGGAGTGAGGCTGAGCCCCAGATAAGGTAGGTTCTCTACAGTGTACACACACTTACTACATTCAAGCATGTTTCTTAGTGGCAGGCAGTAATGTCTCAACTGAAAACACACAAAAGGGTCCTGGTTGTTTTCTGAAACGGGCACTATCCCAAAGCTTCACAGACACAAAACTGTATATTTCACTCACTAGATATGAGGGGAAAGGTCCTAGCCATAACCTCAGAGCATTCCAGAGAACAAAGTTTGCTGCTTCAAAAATACAAATAGTTTCCAGCATGCAGTCAAGCATTTTGGAAGGGAACGCTACACACACCACGGACTGGAACGGAACTCCACTGCAAGCCGGGCGTCCGCAGGTACGCCATCACTCAGACTGCAACTCTCGTACGTGTTGTTACAGGTCTTTATTTATCAGATACAGGACGGGAACAGGAGGACAGAAATGCCGAATCCCTTTCTAGCGCCATAGTAAATGCTGGGAACTCCTGGTTGAAAAAGCATGCCTAATGGACTGGCCAGGGTGTTTTATGTAAGAGCTTTTTTTTTTAGATTTTATAAAATCCCAGGTCTGTGTGACACTGGATTTTGGTTTTTGTTTTGTTTTGTTTAGTATTTTAAAAATAGTTTTTATTTTCTATGAAACGTATTGGGAACTCAAAAAGTCTGCAGCATTTTTGTCATTGAAAAGTTTGTTTTTGGAGGGGTTCAGGAAACAGGAACTATTCAAACTTCTTGTGTTCTTCAGTATGAGAAAGGACCTTTCTTCTCTGGTGGATCATGTGGAAATACAACTGAGGAAAAACTGGAGAGAAAAGAAAGAACTGGTTAAGGAGATCACTTAGAACTGTATGTTCTATTTAAAGCACAGGGAGTTAAGGTCCTCTATAACTTTCCGATACTTTATCATCTAGCAACCAAGTACCCGGTACCAGGTACCAGGTGGGCCTGGGGAAGGGAAAAAAAAAACACGAGCAGACCTACCTCCTCCTGCATTAGCCAGGGAGGAAGGTTGGTGTGGGCCAGACTGGCAGACACTGTCATTACCTGTCAAGATGCCACAGAGCCGCCAAGTAACATTCTTTGCACTCTTACTATCTTTACACCCATTCTCTGATTTCCCAACAAGCGGGTGAAGAATTCTAGCAATGGAGTTATTATCCTTGTTTCAGAGGAGGAATTCAAGTCCTAGAAAGTGTAGGCGACTTGTCTGGGGTTTCACTGCAAATCACTGACGGATCAGGACCAAGCTTTGGGCTCCCGAGAAAGGTTGTTCTTTGAGTGGGAAGGAGTGCTAATACATTTGATCTGAAAACTACTAAGCCAAGTTTGAATGTAGAAAAAGTCTTTATTAAAAGAGCCAGTGGCTGGTGTGGCTCAGTGGACTGAGTGTTGATTTGCAAACTGAAGGGTTGCCAGTTCGATTCCCAGTCAGGGCACACGACTGGATTGTGGGCCGGGTCCCGGGTTGGGTGTGTGTGGGAGGCAACTAACTGATGTTTGTTTCCCTCTCTGTCTCCTTCCCTTCCCCTCTCTCTAAAAATAAATAAGTAAAATCTTAAAAAAAAAAGCCAGTATCTCAGGAATTAAGATTCTGTCCTTGGTAATTTATAGATTACCTTTATTTTGTTTTATTTTATTTTATTTTTAAGATCTCTCTCTCTCTCTCTCTCTCTCTCTCTCTCTATATATATATATATATATATATATATATATATATATATATATGTTTTGAGAGAGAGGGTAAGGGAGGGAGAGACAGGGAGAGAAACATCAATGTGTGGTTGCCTCTCACATGCCCCTCACTGGGCACCTGGCCTCCAACCCAGGCATGTGCCCTGACTGGGGACTGAACTGGTGACCTTTCAGTTTGCAGTCCAGCGCTCAATCCACTGAGCCACACCAGCCAGGGCTATAGATTATTTTTAAAAGTAATAGTTCTCAGTCCTAGCCAGTGTGGCTCAGTAGGCTGGAACAGTGTCCCATACACCATTCAATTCTTAGTCAGGGCATGTGCCTGGTTGCAGGTCTGATCCCAGTCAAGGCGTGTACTACAGGCAACTGATCAGTGTTTCTCTCCCTCTCTCTCCCTCCTTTCTCCTCTTTCTAGAATCAACAGGCATTTCCTTGGATGAGGATAAAAAAAAAGTAATGGTTCTCAAATGAACTGGATGGTACTACCTTCCTAGGGAGTATTTGGAAATGGTGGGGGAACTCCTGGGGGACCAGGTTACTGGCATTCAGCGTGTGGGGGCAGGAATGCCAAAACCTGCAACATGTGACGATCCTCCACAACTAAGCATTATTCCATCCCAAACGCTTCGAGTGTCCTTGCTGGGAAATGCCAGTTTAAGCTATCTGGTCATCACGAAGTTACTTTAAACTGGGGGGCTCGATAACCATGTAAAAAACTCCAGTGAGATGGTCTTGGGTGTACCCTATTCTTCCTTCCCTTCCCTTCTCAACAGCTCCAATCTTTATTTTTTAGACAATAACCTCTATTTTGGGGGAGGTAATTTCCACCACTGCCAACACTCTCTGACAGTTTCTTCCCTTTTTAATGGCTTCCAAGTTGGCAACATTTCAAATAATGCTCCCAAAGTGTTCCAAGACATCAGTGGGTTTGTGCACAGACCCGACAAACTGCAGGGGAGGCTCTGATGCTGAGCAGGGCTGCCAACCACTCCACTCACTATTTGCAGGCAGAAAGTCATTCACAGAAAAGGCCCAGCTTGTGCATAAAATTCAACAGTGGGAGAACTATTTTGGTTCGAGAGCTAGAAAATTTGACAAGCTCTATAATCTAAAAACTGGAAGTAAAGATATAATTAAACCATAAGGAATGCTAATTGTAATCATTTAAAAATGTGGGGCCAGTCACATTTCCATAGATGTGTTTTAGTAAAGGGAAACGTTGTGGCGAAGTGCGCTAAGGACTTCCCTCTAGCTGCATTAGACTGCAACACCCCTCACAGGCCACGGCAGCCTCACAGCCAGGTCGGAGGGCGGGAGGGGGGACGGGACCTGGCAGCCATTAATGACGCTCTTGGTGGCAGTGAGAGCAAGATGGCCGAGCACACCTTCACCTTCGTCCCTGTGGGCAAGGGCCTGCTGGCTGCCAGAGGAGTCGGATGTCAGAACCAGAGGGCAAATGTGGTCCTTTCATTCTTTAATATTTTCTAGAGGTTTCTTAGTGACTAAGAAAAAGAAATGCAGGTGTGTGAGGGGGAGGGGGTGGTCGGGAAATGGGTGTTAGACGCCATTGAGTGAGCATGTGTACTGTGTGGCCCTCACATTCAAAATGACTGAGCAAGTAGAGCAATGAATCTGCATCAAAATTTGTGTTAAGCCTGAACATTCCTCGGCAGAAACTATTCGGATGATTCAGAAGGCTGTAACTATGGACAACTGTTGATTGGCAGCTCCATCACAACAACGTGCCAGCTCATACATCATGTCTCGTGCAGAGTTTTTTGGCGAAACATCAAATCTCTCAGGTGACTCAGCCCCACTACAACCCAGATTTGGTGCCCTGCGACTTCTGGCTTTTCCCAAAACTAAAATCACCTTTGAAAGGGAAGAGATTTTAGACTGTTGATGAGATTCAGGAAAATACGATGGGGCAGCTGATGGTAATTGGGAGAACTGTGTGAGGTCCCAAGGTGCCTGTCTACTCTGAAAGGGACTGAGGTGTCATTGTCCTGTGTATAAGGTTTCTTGCATCTTCTATCTTCAGTAAATATCACATGGCTGTATACTTTCTGGACAGCCTTCCCATTTAATAAGATTAAAAGAAACTTAAGTTGTAGAAAGAAAACCAGATTTGATAAAGAAGACAACATGTCAACAGCAACCTCTCCTAATCCTACATTTCTTGTAACACAAAGTTTTGGAAAGATGCAAAGGTACAGCTGGCTGGGAATAAACTGTACAAACTGCCCTCAATATTACCACCTAAACCACTGACAACATCCAGGGCAACTGGCCCAGGCCGGAAGCAATGTGAGCGCCAGCAGATATGATGATGTGTATAGCAGGAGATGCAGTCTGGGCTGCCATCTTGAGCTGGGTTGGAAGTCACAGATTTGAAGAAAATCTTTTAATCTTTATTTGAAACCAACCCTTTTTCATTGTCTACAAAAGTTAAGCTGCCTTAAAAAGGAGAAAGACTATAAATTTTAACCAAGCCAAATTCTCTTAACAAAAGAAGGCTGAAAAAGGAAGGGGAAAGGAACTGAGGTAAAGAAAGCAGACTTCTTGAGAAATCTGCTTGACTCTCTAAAAGACAGTAGGCCCGGAGGTCTATGTTTTTTATTCTATCTCTTTTAAAGCCGACAAGGAAGACCCCAGAGACCTAGGCTTGTTTTCCTTCAGGAATCCAATCACTGGGGAGGGCTGCCTGTGCCTGGCCAGGCCCCTCCTGGGTGTCCTGAGGCTGTGGGCGGCGAAGAAGACGGGGAGGCGCACACAGCCTCAGGTCGCCCTGGAGAGCTGCCCGGGAAGGGAGCCTTCCTCCTCAGACAGACGAGAAATCCTGCATCAACCCTCAGGGTTCTGTCAGGGCGGCAGCATTCTGTTAGTGATTTGATTTTATGAAACCCTCCTTGACCCTTTCCCACTTACTAAAAATGGCACCTATCTTCTATGTAATCAAGAACTTATGTTGAATTAAATCTTGTGGTGCCCACTGACTAGGATAGTGTGTTATTCCAGTGTGGCAAGAATGCGGCCAAGAACCGTTGCTCTAGAGTCTTGAAGATGGAACTCTTACGGAACAGTGTTAGAAAGGTAAGAAAACTGTTCAGTTAATTTTTGTTACTTAAATTTTTAGATTCTTCCATATTTATCTGTTTGGTAATCAACTACATTTTACACTTGAGAGATGACCTTTAGTCACCATGGTTGCAGCACCAGAGAGGAGGGCCTGGTAATTAATACAGAGCGGGAAATGAATCACGAAGCAGAGCTGTGTCCAAGACAAATGTTCACATGAAATCTGGATGTAGTGTTTTTTTTTAAACTTACTAATGGATTATATTTTTTATCTCTATTTTCTCAACTTAATTTAGTATTCTTTTTTTTAAATTTTTATTATTTATTTATTTATTTTTTTAGAGAGGGAAGGGGGGGAGAGAGAGAGAGAGAGAGAGAGAGAGAGAGAGAGAGAAACATCAATGTGCGGTTGCTGGGGGTTATGGCCTGCAACCCAGGAATGTACCCTGGCTGGGAATCGAACCTGGGACACTTTGGTTCCCAGCCCACGCTCAATCCACTGAGCTACGCCAGCCAGGTAATTTAGTATTCTTTTTTAAAAAAAGATTTTATTTTTTAGAGAGAAAGGACAGAAGGGAGAAAGAGAGGGAGGGAAACACTGATGTGAGAGGGAAACATTGGTCGGTTGCCCCTCAGACCCCCCCAAATAGGGACCTGGCCCACAACCCAGGCACATGCCCTGACTGGGAACTGAACTAGCAACCTTTGGTTCACAGGCTGGCACTCAATCCACTGAGACACACCAGCCAGGGATGGATGTAGGGTTTTTCCACAATGCATGAAATACAGTTTCCCACAGCAGGACACACTCATGTTGCTCCTGATTGTGAGGATGATTCATGCAGTTAGTGCTGTCGGCTAAAGAAAAGCCCAACCCTCTTGTCTGAGTTTTACCTGAGGTGTAGGGGAGAATATAGCACCTTATAGACTGAAATAACATTCAGAGCCATGATGGCTACAGGAATAGCTAAAGGAGAAGAAACATATGTTCTTGGGTAGAAGAAGAGCCTTTTGGATATGTGGAAATCAACCACAGGATTTCAAAAGGACATCAGAATCCCAGAAAAGGCCCTAGCAAACAGGCCTCCTTTCCCAGAAGCCTCAGACACATGTCTTCGGTCTGCTCTCAGGTGCACGGACAGGCACGCTGACGACCCAGCACGGCCCGTCAGCGGGGCTGCGGCAGCGCTGGGTGCCACCCTGAAGAGAACACTGTGTTCTGTTCAGATGGTTCGAGTGCCTGATTCTACACAAGAAGAGATATTGAAAAAAAAATCTGTTTTATTTTGTTATTTGTTTCCAGTCAACTACTGATTCCTTAAAAATGAAATAACTATCTATTCTGATACAGTAAAAATGCAAAAAATTTCTTTACAATGTTTTCCCAATGCCATTAATAAACAGTTTTTGAGAAACAGAATAAGTCAAGGTAAGGCTTTAATGGCATTTTTTGGTTTTCCACTCAGTGCTTTTCCCCAACAGACAGGTACCTACCCCAGTATTCACCGTTTCAAACCCACACACACTGAGAAGGGCTGCATTTTGGCGGCTGTAAGGAGAACAATTCGTCTTTCTACAATTACTACCAGCGAACATTCCTAATAAACTAGGTTTACATTTACCTGGACATGGTGTAACAACAACCAAAGGCTTTTACCTCTAGGAATTGTAGAGCCAACTTTTAAAAGATAAATAAACATAACGTACAACGGTTTACTTACGTGGAATGTAGGAGATCATTATCAGAATCAGGAATGCGTAATAGTCAAAGGAGAAGTTGTACTTGTTGGGCAGGCTGATGGAGTACAGGCCCGCCTGTCTGACGAAAGGCAGAGCAGCGTATATCGTGAGCAGCTCTCCCGACACCCCCATCGGGTACAGCACGATGAAGAGTGTGTACCTGAAACAAAGCAGAGTGCTCATTACCGAGCCTTGAAGCCAGCTTTGGTAGAAAGACGCACTTCCACCCTTCTAATCGGTGCTGCTCTTTTAAAAACTATCATTTATACATTTTCCTGTTTACCCACTGTTTAAGTTCAGGTTTTACAAGCCAGTTTTTGGAAGGGGCTTTGAACAGGTGTGTTTCTGAATGTTCTAAAATAAAATAAATGTGTTTGGTCAGCCTCAAAATTTGGTCTGACTCAATAAACGACTCTTCAAAACAACTCCCTAAAATCACTAGGGTGATGCCAGATATTGGTCAAGTCGGGGCACCGAGGCATGGCTTACGCCGACCCTGCCTGTGGGATGGTAGTGGAGATGGCCTTTTGCAGAGAGGTGGCGGGAGGTGTTGGAGCATGTGTCTAGGAACCTCTGAGGATGTACGCCAAGTCTGGTCTGTGGTCAGAAGAGAATATAGCGCACTCAACCTGTGTACACTGCTACAGTCATTCAGCTGTCTGTACATATCATGGTGATGCTAAAATACTGTCGTGTATGTGAATTTAAAAAAACATTAAAAATTCATAATAGCTTTTGGTCAATATATAATTTTCCAATTAAAAAAACTGTAACTACTATCTCATGGGAGAATCCACACAGTTTCTTTCACTTTAAAAGAAATTCTTGCTTTGGCTGGTGTGGCTCAATGGATTGAGTGCTGGCCTACAAACCAGAAGGTCACCAGTTTGATTCCCAGTCAGAGCGCATGCCTAGGTTTTGGACCAGGTCTCCAGCTGGGGGCATGTGAGATGTGACCAGTCAATATATCCCTTGCACATTGGTGTTTCTCTCCCTTTCTTTCTCCCTACCTTCCTCTCTTTCTAAAAGTAAATAAAATCTTAAAAAAAAGGTAAAAGAAATCATCTATGTTTCTAAAAGAATCCAGAGAGAAGTTCATCCTACGAAATGAACTGGAAATCATTTTGAAGTATAGGTATTGCTAAAGAAATCATCAGCTCAGATTTTAAAAAGCCTTTGGCTGCAGCATTATTTCTAACAGTCAAGCTATGGAAACAACATAAGTGTCCACTGATAGGTAAATAAAGAACATTTTATATATATCTATACAATAAAACATTACTCAGCCATTAGAAGACGGTAAAATCTTGCCATCTGTGATGGACGGCCCTAGAGAGTGTTATGCGAAGCATGTGTCAGACAGAGGAGGACAAGTACCGAGTGACTGCACTTGTGTGTGGAGTCTGAAAAACAGAACCACACACAAAACAAAGCAGAAACAGACTCACGGACTCAGAAAACAAACTGATGGCTGCCAGAGGGCAGAGGAGTAGGAGGATTAGGTGAAAAGCGTGAAGGCAAATGAAACACGTAAGTCACAGGGATGTAGTGTGCAGCACAGGGAACACGTTCCATGGTATTGTAACAGTGCCGTGCAGTGACAGATAATGAATTTTATTGCGTCAATCACTTTGTAAGGTATATAAATAGTTGGAAAACTCTGTGGCACTCCTGAAACACATATATAACACAGGGTCCAGCACAAATAATGCCCTCCCCTCTTTTTTACAAAATCTTTTATTACAAAATCATAAGCATGTGATTCTGTAACATAGTGTCACACTCAAGCACACCATGTGACATTTCAGGTGAAATGTTCAAATTAAAACTATAAATTACTACACTCATATTATTGCCCTACCAACCACACTCAAGCAGGCCTTACTTCTGCCGGACCCTGTAGTGTATGTCAACCATACTTTAATAATAAAAATAAAACATCCTTGGCTGTTTGTGGCTAACAGTGAGCACTGGGCTTTCAAATCCCAGGTACAGGAACTGTGCTAAGAAATCTGTGACAATGAAAGGAGACATGTTCCCTGTCACCAGCCTCAGCCACGCTAAGGAGGAGGGTGAAAAGGAAGAATTTCCTATGGGCCATGGAAAACAAGGGACAAAAGAATCATTCTCCAAGAGTAAAATCAAGGCTTGGTCAATAAAATTTCCCTATAACCGGGATAGACAGTGTTCACAATGCCTGCCTGGGTTGGTTAGAAACTGCTATGTTTTCTCCATTCTCCCCTTTTCCTCAATAAAAATGTTTATTGCAAAAGAAGAAACAAAGAAACAAAGGAAGAAAAGAGAGTCTATATACTTGAAATGTTGCAAACAACTGGTCTGTCTCTAATTTAATCATCAAATGTATGAATTGTGCCCTGGTTGGCGTAGCTCAGCAGATTGAGCGCGGGCTACGAACCAAAGCATTGCAGGTTTGATTCCCAGTCAGGGCACATGCCTGGGTTGCAGGCCATGGCCCCCAGGAACCACACATTGATGTTTCTCTCTCTCCCTCTTTCTCTCTCCCTTCCCTCTCTGAAAATAAATAAATGAATTTTTAAAAAAATTTCCCTTTAAAAAATGTATGAATTGTAAAGGAACCCATTTTCCTTCTATGAAATGAGGCATTTGGGCCTCAAGGATAATTTTGCTTTTTTTGCTTTTGCAATCCTCCCCTAGTCTTTTTCTTTTTAAGAAGATTTTACTTTAATTATTTTTAGACAGAGGGGAAGGGAGGAAGAAGGACAGGAAGAGAAACATCAATGTGTGGTTGCCTCTCATGTGCCCCCAACTGGGGACCTGGCCTGTAACCCAGGCACATGCTGTGACTGGGAATTGAACCAGTGACCCTTTGGTTTGCAGGCCAGTGCTCAATCTACTGAGCCACACCAGCCAGGGCTCCCCTAGTCTTGTTCAACTCAGAAGACTGCTTATACCCTGCCTGGTGTGCCTCAATGGACTGAGTGCTGGCCTGCGTGCAAACCAAGAGGCTGTCAGTTCCATTCCCAGTCAGGGCACATGCCTGGGTTTTGAGCCAGGTCCACGGTGTGGGGGTTCATGAGAGGCAAGCACACATTGATGTTCCCTCTCTTTCTTCCTCCCTCCCCCGCTCTAAAAATAAATAAATAAATAAATAAATAAATAAATAAATGCTCACAACTATCTCATGGATTACTTCAGATAAAGAGATGAACTGTCAGTATTTTATCCAATTCATAATAAATATTACTATAAAAATAATCAACATAAATAAACTGATAATAAGCTAAATAGCTTATTAATGTTTGTTATTAATTAGAAATTAATTTAAGTGTCATAGCTTGTTGGCAAAATTGAGAATAGAATTGGACTTGGTTCAAAAAACCATCATAATGGCAGAAGCTCATCAATAAAATTTGATACAGACAAAAAGGTGATATTACATCAAATCTCCATTGGGATTTGAATATAACCGAAAAGAATTGATTCAATAAAAGTAACAAGTATAAAAAAATTTAAATAGTATTTCTATAATCAAAATTAAGTCGAGGTCCTTATCCTGAGGAGATCTACACACCAGATATCTACCCAACCCCTACCTCACACAATTTTATTTTGAGGAACTTAAGAGGCAGTATTTAGACAACATTGCAGTGATGGATCATTTCCAAAGTTAGTCTTCATTCCCTGTACTTCTTTACCTGGCCCATTTGATGAGGTAAGGCAGATGGTTTAAGAGACTGAATGTATAAAAGGAGTAACGGATAATTTCTGTGATTGTCCAGGCAATAACAAACAGAAGGACACTGTCTTCACTCTGTACCTAAAGGAAAAGGAAAACAAAAGCAAATACATAAAACATTTTAACAAAAAGCACTCGCAGTGTGCAGCCTGGAGGCCCTCTCCCTTCCCCTGTTCAGTACAGAGCTGGGAGATCAGTGTGTGGACACAGTCCCCGGTCTCTGTCCTCAGCGGCCACAGCACAGCCTAGAAAGAGCCTGCCACACAAAGGAACACACTCTGTGACAACCACTGTGGAGAGAGCCAAGTGGGAAGACAAGTGAGAAGGGACCCGGCTAACCGATGAGTGACAGGCGCAGGACTGGGAATCACGTGCGCTGTTAGCCACAAAAAGAAACTAACATGACGAATGAGTGTTCACAGCCTCACGTGGAGACTGTGCATGAGAGCGGAGGTTAGTGGGGCCAAGAGGGGTTAGAGCAGAACGACAGAAGGGCAAACTGGTAGGAGGCTTGGGATCCACCAACAGGAATTTTAATTGGATGTGCAAGACAACTAGAATGATTGAAACACAACGGAAGATGAAGCCAATTTGCTGGGTAGTTTAAAATCAGGCGCGGAAGAGCAAGGCCATCTAAGCGGCAAGGCCCGTTGATTCTCTCCCACCGGTGACTTCTCCCCCCAGACAGGCCTGGGTTAACTCAAGAATTACAGAGGCTCCCATGCTGAGCACAATATGTAGCTGAAGCCAGAAGAGCTTTGGAATTCCTGACCGCCTATGAAATTGTTTTCATGCAGAAAAAATAATAAACTTTTAAAAGCGTCCCTTAGGTGTTTATTTTGTTTGTTTGTTTTTTAAAGAGATGTTCTTACTAGATGCCTCACCCTAAATCTTGCATGAAAATCTATTATTGTGGTTTTAACTTTCAACACCTCCGTCCGACCCACCCCAGCTGGGTCTACCGTGATCCTCTGTGCTTGAAAGCCAGTGATTAGAGACAACCCGGCACCGCAATTCACTGAAGTTCTCTCGTATCCAAAAAGGGCAGTCAGAGTTGGATGTGACTAAGAAATTCCACTGAGTAAATGAAACACATTTTAATTACAAGATGGACCTTACGTCTTTGCTTCTAACATCTGATACAACAAAGGAAAGGCACTTTAACCTTACCTCTTGCTTCTTTGTATTTGCAATGTTAATAGTTTTTAGCACTTACATGCTTCCTTAGAAAGTGAACATGGAGTGATCCACCTACACAATGAAGTAAGTAGTCATTTACATACCTATTAACTAAATAGTTCTGACAAAGAATTTCATAAATGTAGAGTGACTATTCTCTAAAAATAATAAGAATTTTACAGTGTCAAGAGCAAGAGTACTTTGTGTTTTCCTGGTGCTCTCATGTTAGCCAAAGTAAAGGGAAAACTAACACTTCTAAAGCTTCCCTGTATCAGTTTTCAGTCTGTCCCCAAACCCTTGCTTAACAACCATCTATAAAGTATAATTTCAAAGCACACTTTGATTTTTTGATGTACGTTGCAATCCTCCTCATCTTAAGTAGATATGTTTTTTATAGCTATGGGGTGAAGACTTGCTTAAGGATCTTCAGATTATAATATTTTGCACTATAAATGTCTTGAAAGCTGGGCGTGTGTTTTATTCATCTTTTGATTCCCAAAAGCACTTTGTGCTTTTCACAAGTAGGAATTCATAAACTTTTGTGAAATAAATGAATTCAATCCTATTCCCTGCTTTTTGATACCTGATAGCGGTTTCTGTGTAGTCTTAGTGACCTTCAAGGAGACAGGTAACAAACAAAACCCCCCAAACCTCCCACTCCGATCCACCCTGGAGGTTATTTGATCGATCCCCACCTCCACCCCTGTTAGTCTTAAACTAAAATAATTTTAACAAACTTAGACCCAGGATAAGTATGAAGCAGTCTGTTCCCAGGCCAGCTGCAAAGACCATGTCATAATTTTAAAAAGACTGAGGATGGGGGAAATGACCATTTTATACAAATGGTATCTTCAGATCAATGGGAAGCGGAACACATTAAGAAGGACTTGGGTAAAGTCAGACACCAAGCTTATCTGATTTGCAGATAATCGCCCATTAACACAAAATGGGCAGAATGTAACGAGTTAAAACAGTAAGATCAATGAGACCCAAACACATATTTGTACACTGACATTAATAGCAGCATTATTCACGACAGCCAAAAGGAGGAAACGACACTTATGTCCATCAACAGTTGAAGTAATAAATGAAATATGGTATATACATACAATGGGATAGAATTCATCCCTAAAAAGTAAGGTAATTCTAATGCTACGACACGGATGAACTTTGAACATATTAAGTAAAATAAGCCATTCACAAAAGGGCAAATACTGCATCATCCCACTCATGTGGTACTCAAATTCAGAGAGAAAGTAGGGGCAGAAGGTTGCCAAGGGCTGGGGTGGGAGGAAACAGGGAGCAGTCGTTCAGAGGATATGGAGTTTCAGTGTGGGAAGATGAAAAAAGTTCTGGGGATGCTTGGTGGTGATGGTTGCAGAACAGCAGAATGTACTTAACGCAACTGAACCATGGATTTAAAAATGGCTAAAATGTAAATTTTATGTTATGCATATTTTACCACAATAAAAAAATTAAAAAACCCAGCAAGATCAAATCTAACAAGGCTAAATGTAAAACAGTATGATTCAGCAACAACAAAGTGACTGCAGTACAACTTAAGAATGTAAGAAATACAGAGTTTCTGGTGAACCATAAGCTTCATATGCACCAACAGGATGTAGGTGGTGGTTCAAATCAAGCAAGCAAGCAACCAGTTTTGGCTACACTAAGAATCTCATCCCAATTACTCTCTCCTAGATAGATCAGACCCCATCTAATCTATTTAGAATGAGGTCAGAGTCAGTCACAAGAACTCCTGAACTAGCAGAGGGTTAACTACAAAACACAAAAAAGGAAATCATGTACGACAGGCATAAGGACATGAGACTAATGGAAAAATTAACGGGGAGTAAAAATGCCTGGGTCACAATAAGACAGACTATGGAACAAACCAGGTGACGAACAAAACAGGCCACTTGTGAGGCTGTGTGCTCCCAGGTGTCAAACACACTCAACTGAGATTGCTCGGGAGGAAAAGTGCTGGAGGGTGGTGGGTGAGGCTTCAGCTGCTATTCTCTGGGAAAGGGGTGCACATATGGAAGCGGCATCCAACTGGCTCTTACTCATTTCCTTACATGAGCTGTTTTTTTTTTAGTTGGAAAGAAAAATGGGTAGAGACTTTAATAGTCCTTATAACTAATTTTCCTTTATCAAAGTAGGCAGGAGAGGAGAGAATAAAGAGGAAGAGTCCCTTCATCCCTTCCATTTCAACGGTGAGCTCTCCGGGGTCCGGGCCTCATCTCCAGTGGCTGCCTCAGCCCTCAGCACAGGCCTGGACATGAGGAATGCACTGAATCAAAGCCCCTTCATGAGAGCAATTCCTCTCCACTCCTCCCTCCCCCTTTCCTTTTCTCTTCTCTCTCTGAAAGCAGGTGTTGGGGGCATTTTCTAACAGGTGAGGAGCCTCCTTTCTGTCAAGGGTCACTGACGCAGAGAAGAGCTGACAGGTAGCCTCACTGAAGTGAAAACAAAGCCAGTTTAGTTTTGGAGAGGTTTTTTGAGGGGCAGAGAACTAGAATTATAAAAACTTCAGCTCAGCTGCTTTTTGAATTAAGAACTAGAAACACGTAATTTTATTAATTTTCAAGAATAAGAGGTTTAATATGTCCACACAAAGATTTGCACTAAAATGTTCATAGCAGCATTACCTGTAACAGCCAAAAGGTAAAACGACCCAAATGTCCAGCAGCTGGTGAGTGGATAAGCAAAAATGTATAGCCATATAGTAGAATATGGTAGAATGTGAGTCAGCAACACAAAGGAAATGCTGACACATGCTATAACACAGATGGACCTCAGAAGCATTACACTGAGTGAAAAAAGCCAAATGCAAAAGACTACCATGTTTGTATGATTTCATGTATGTAAAATATCTAGGAAAGACAAATCTAGAGACGTAATAGATGCAAGTTGCCTGGGGCTGGGAGCAGGCGTGGGAATGAATTTTTGAAGGGCATGAGGGATCATAGTGTGGTGATGGAAAAAGTCTAAAATTGGGTTATGGTCATGGTTATAAACTTGGAAAATTTACTAAATGCCATTAAACTGAACACCTACAATGGGTGAATTTTATAGTATATAAATTCTACCTCCAGTAAGTTGTTAAATGCATATTAGTGCCTTTTAAAGGAAGAGGGGAAAAGGATTTAGCAGGTTTACAAAGGAAAAGAGGGAGACAAAAGGGCAGGTTTAGGCTAGGTTGCCAAAAATGTCTGGAAGAAGCCATATCTGGAAGATGCATATCCACGACTGTGGTGCAAACGGGCCGTGGGCACAGGCAGCCCTGCCCGGCAGGAAGTCCCCTCTGCCTGGTACAGTAAGCTGCATACTGGACCCTCCAGGCTAAAAGCCTGCGGGTTTCTGCCCCTGCTCTCCAGCAAAGGAGGAGGTGCTGGGTGTGGGTGGCTTGTGCACTCTAGCCAAGGGAGTTTACAAAAATATTCAAGCAGGAGAAACAAACAAGTGTAAGAGAAAAACCTTTACACACAAATAGCATCATATGTTTGACTTCAAAAGGCTTAGGGAGTGTCAGTACATGAAAAGCTGTCATTTTTATTACACTCGAAGAAAAACAGATGGTGCCACCTAAGCAAATCACTATTGTAGAAACTCTATTCTTCTTAGCGTTTTGGAACCTGCTGCTTATCACTCTGTTTATTGCAAAAAAAAAAAAAAAAATCCCCTGATCATGCTTTATGTGAGTATTCTTTCCTTTTCTTTTTTTTTAAGATTTTATTTATTCATTTTTAGAGAGAGAAGGGAGGGAGAAGGAGAGAGAGAGAGAAACACCAATGTGTGGTTGCTGGGGGCCATGGCCTGCAACCCAGACATGTACTGTGACTGGGAATCGAACCTGCAATGCTTTTGTTCGCAGCCCGCGCTCAATCCACTGAGCTACG